ACAGCCTTACAACCGATATCAGAAGTGAGTTATAGCTAATGGTGATTATTTGAAGACCAGTAAAGATGCTTGGTTGTTAACTTGTTTCTTTTATTTTCTGAGACCATTCACCAAATTTTTCAGGTGTACCTTACAGACATCGGAGTTCAACTAGAAAAAAGGGGCCGCAGACTTAAGTGACCGCCACATACTATTGAATTGATAAATAGTACACCAGGTCGGGGCTAACACATCATAGCGGTCATGAGCACCGAGAGACTGTGTGATCGATGGACCCACCTACAGAATTAACTACCACTTCTGACTGCCACATACCCGTGTGGCTGCTGAAGAAAGTTGCCGGCAGTGTCCTACCGAAACCAGTAGGGGACTCGAACCCTGGACACAGAAGTTGTAAATCAAATGCCTGAACCACTACACCAAATGAGGCTGCCGCGAAAACAGGGAGGAGTCCTGAATCATTTCAAAGCCGGAAGCTCACCGACCAAAAGCGTAAAGCGCCTTGTACAGATCAGAAATGTCCTCTTTTCCCCTGCATGATAACTGCAATGCTTTTCATTCCTGCTTGGCACAAGGCGCTTTGCTCTGGATACTGGTTTAGTGACGGACTTGGGGTTCAGGGTAGCCCTGCTGATTCTGCAACATTCTGGACCAGGTTGGAGTACTGCTTTGTGGCGTCTATTCATCTGCGTAATCTGACTGCCATTGATTTCTACCGTCGCATCTTCAGGTCTGATGGACACATCTGATTTTGTAGTGGCAGTGTGGCAGAAGTGTTGCTCTTCCCTGGCTTCCGAATTCGCGACCACATTTGTACCAGGATTCAAGTTGAGCAACCTCTAGCATTCTGATACAATTTCTTGTGATGTCAATTTCAGTTCCGGTTCCCATTTTACCTGAATGTTTAATTTGTGTGATAGCAGTTCAATCAAATGCCACTGCGACTGCTGCTGCAAAAGTGCCTGCAATTGTTCAAAACTGACTAACATATTTGGGTTCTTCTGACTCCAGTCGCCACTGTTGTAAACGGTTATTCTTACCTCGGCTGATGCTTACCTACAAGTTCCAGTAGCCGAGAACTGCAGAACATTACTGACGGTCAACACGCATCTTGGACCTTTGAAGTACAATCGGTTACCATACGGAGTGAAAAGCGCTCCCGCCATTTTTAAACAAATCATGGATACGCTGCTGAACGATATCCCTGGGGTCGCAGCATACCTAGATGACGCATTGATTATGGTGTCTAACCCACAAAGTTTGCTGGCCAGTTTAGAGAAAGTGCTCTCAAGTCTAAAAGAAGTTCGCTTCCCGGTACGGGTGGAAAAATGCAATTCCTTGATGAACCGTGTCAAGTTTCTCGGGTTGATCACTGACAAATACGGCCGGTGTCCGGATCCCGCTAATATAGAAGCCATCAAGCAGATGCCACCACCAAGAGAGGTTGCCGAATTTCGTTCATTTCTCGGTATTGTAAACCATTATAGTGCTTTCTTGCCAAGTCTACATCAGACAAGAGGCCCCCTGAACGAGTTGCTGATGAAAGGGAAAGAATGGCGATGGACAAAGGAGTGCCAACAATCCTTTGATACAGTTAAGGCAGCATTTAGTCCAGATTTACTCTTGACCCACATCAACTCAAACTTAGAGATTGCTTCGGGCGCCTCCAATTATGAGGTGGGTGCTGTCATTTCCCACGTGCTTCCAGGAGGAGAAGGTCATTGCGCACGCAGCACGGTCGTTGACAGTGGCGGAGAAAAATTACAGCCAGGTTAAGAAGGAAGCGCTAGTGAATGTTTTCGCAGTGAAATGTCTTCACAAGATGTTATATGGTAGACATTTCGAACTGATCACGGACCACAAACCTTTACTCTCGATATTTGGATCAAAGAAGGGTATTCCTGTTTTCACAGTAAGTCGGCTATAGAGATGGGCAACTGTATTGCTGGCTTACCATTTCAGTATACAATACCGATCTACGCAAACAACTCAGCCAAGCTGACGCTCTATCTCGCCTCCTCAGTTCCCACTCGAAGGAAAACGATGACAGCGTGATCGCATCTGTCAAATCCGAGTCGGAAGTTCATCGGATCCTGGTTGACAGTGTAAGGGAGTTGTCAGTAACTTCGGACATGATTCGTGCAGAGACAGCTCAAGAGGAGATCTTGCTGAAAGTGATAGGGTTTATGCAGTCCCATTGGCCTAATGTCAGAATTTCGACTGAGTTACGACCTCTCTTCAATCGACGTGGATCTCTTTCGGTTGTTGACAATTGTCTAATGTTTGGAGATCGTCGTGGTATCAAGGAAGTTGCGGAAGCGAACACTAGAGTAGTTTCATTCAGGACATCCGGGAACCAGCGGAATGAAGGCACTGGCACGGAGTTTTGTGTATTGGCCTCGAATAGATTCAGAAAGCGGACAGTTTTGCCAGTTGTGAATCTTGTCAGCAAGCGGCAAAGGCAACTCCAACATGTCCGTGGCAACCTTGGCCCGAGTCAGAGAAGCCCTGGCAGAGAGTCCACTAGGATTATGCGGTACCAATCAACGGACAATATTATTTGATTTTTGTTGATTCCTACACAAAATGGCCCGACGTGATTCCGATGCAAAATCCCACCGACCAGCACACTATCAATGAGCTAAACAAACTGTTCCAGTATTTTGGCACACCGGAGATGCTGGTTACGGACAACGGAGCACAGTTCACATCAACGCTGTTCCGAGAATTTCGCATGCAAAACAGAATCCAGCACAAGTTTTCGCCGCCGTACCATCCACAATCGAATGAGCAGGCCAAACGGTTTGTACATACCTTTAAACGTGCTTTTATCAAAGCGGAAGGAACAAGAGTGTCACGAGATGCAATTCAGCCGTTTTCGAGGATGTATCGAAACACTACGAATCCAAACACACCGGAGAGCAAATCTCCTGCTGAATGTCTATTTGGACGAAAAATTAGAACGACATTTGATAGCCTGATCCCCAGAAATGTTGGAAAACGCAACGGAGAAACGAGAGGAGCAGGATAATAGGCTTCGTAGGTTCAAGATCGGTGACTTGGTGTATGCACGAAACTTCTAGACCTCGGAACGATGGTCTAGCAGAACGGTTACGGGTAAGAGATATTTATGTGATAATGGTCGGAAAGTGGATCAGACAAGTCAATCAGCTACGACCGCGGCATGGAAACACAAAGATCTCAAGAACCAGCAGCACTACAGTGGAACATACTCCTGGATACACTTGGGTTGGAAAACAGAACTAATCCCCAAAGCGGAACACAGCCGGTCGCTCGGGCGCCACATGACCTGTCATGCAGGCGAAGTGGAAGAGGAAGGTAACCGCAATGGCTACAAGTGAACCCCAAGGTAAAAAGCTACGATCGAGTCCAACTGCGGAAAATAGGTAGGAGCAATCAACTTAAAGGGGGAGTTAATAGAGACGTAAGCGGAGCTGAATATGGGAGGCGTCTGCCTCAGTACGGTCGATCGAGTAGGCCAGTGAGTTGTTAAAAACACGGCCAGTTGTACTTTTCCTCATACTTGTAAATAGAAGGCTTGTGTGTAGAGCAAGCGTGAATTGATTCTCTGACACGGCTGGAAATGGCAGAGGTAAAGAAGAAGTCTTACGACAAGAAACACGCTCGGTGCGCGCTGAAGAGGCGGAGAGTATTCATCTTTGGCTCTCAAGCGCCGGCCGATTGCCTATTACATCACGTGATGCGTCTCGATGTGACTCCTAGGACGGGGTCTGAGAGCAGTAGAAAATGACGAACAAAATGAAAGAAAGATTAGGTGATGATTCCCTCCGAGCTTCACCCATCAGCAACCAGAGACCCCTTCCCATATGGCGCGATCGGAGAGTTGATAATGCTCTATCACACTGTCGCTCGCAATCAAGTACTAAGCATCCGAACTGGCAACCCTGGCCACTTCTCGATACTCTTTCGACCTCATTTAGTCAATCTTCATTTTCGCCATACTTCAATTTTATTATATTTAAGCCTTGCGAAATTTTGTGAATGGCGTCACTTGTTTCATGGCGTAACCATCCTACCACGGTATAACCACAGTGAAACTGTTGGTACCGACAAAAAGGTGTCTTGCGGTGCCGAAAAAAAACATAATTATTTATCCAGTGAACTATGCCTGTGAAAAAAGTGAGAATTCAAGCTTTTGAATGAATCTCATATCCAATCTCATCAGAAGTTTACATGCACAAGAAGAATGGAAGAAATGTAGTTGGTTAGTTGAAAATGAGCTAAGATTGGTCGAATCATGAAGAGCCGACCGCGGTCAGCAGTCCCAACGTCTCGCTCGATTCGTTCAGGCGGTAGGCTTCGTGGCACGTACATACAATGGTAAAGTACAAGTGCGTCGGCTAAAGACCCTGCTCCATATCCGCCGGTGTCCAATGCGAACCGGAGATCCGTTACAGTCCACGGTTCAGATGCTCTCCGGTTGTAAGGTTCAGGCTCCGTTAACCCGATTGCAGGAATTCCTGATACATGTTGGACCAGATGCTCTAGAATAAAACTGTTGGTGCTACGTAGTGTGCATCCATGCAGTGCCGCTGTGCACTGTTCCGCTTTCCATTTCGACAAACGCTCGAACGCCTCTCTGAAGTATGCCACACCACGTATGCTATTAACTCGAAGTTGAGTGATGTTCAGACAGGGCCAAGGGTTAGAGATTTCAAGGAGCAGTACCACAAGAAAATGTCGTAGACAAGTGGAAAGGTTTGAACCGCTGTAGTAGAAAGTCTCCTGCTCGGTAACTCGAAGAAGAACTGCGAAGAACTACGAGAAAACCTTCCTCGGTAGTATGGTGGCCATTTCGGGGCAATCGCCAGCAATCAAGATGTTGGAGATGAGGAAAGTTGTCGAAAAGAGACTACATGGCACAACTGAGTGCATTTTTTGTCAATATTATAGGAATGCGGAGCGTGACAACAGTATCTATTGATTAGATCGGCTTATATCATAGGTGAACGACTGAGACGAGATGAACATAACTATTTGTTAAAGACCGAATAGTTGTAACGAAAGAGATCATAAAATAGGCTTGGAGAAGCATTGAGTAAATAGGTGGATCGGATTCGGGAAGCCAGCGGACAACTTTCGAGCTGAGGAAAATTAGAATTTATATATACACATGTGTACAGAGCATCATCTGATTGGGGTCAACCATGTTCATCGGGATTCTCCTCCTCCTCCTCATCATCTTCATCTAACTGAGCAGTCATTACCACATACTCACGAGAGGAGTAACCAAACTTGATCAAATCTTTCTCCATAAGTTCGTAGTAGCGTCTGGACTCGATCTTCTGATTGTTCAGATAGGTTCCGTTGGCGGATTCCAGATCGATCAGGTATAAGCGGACCAATCCTCGTACCTGCGACGCAAATGTAATGAGACAGAGTGGATCATACAGTTATTCCGATTTTGGTAAGGGTATTCATCGTACAGGACAGTTGACAGTACAGTGTTCCCGGGCTCAATTTAAAGATTTTACCTGGGTTAGCATCTCGAAATCCGCGAAAGAGGTTCATGATCGGATGCGCGAAGTGGCTCAACCTCCTAAAGATAGCGTTATTATCAGCGGCCATAATGCAGTGGGATATTCGGAACTACGAATCAGAGCACTAGCAAGTATACGCCCAGTGGATGATACGCGAAAAGATAAAAAATGCCGGTGGATTAGCACTGATGATGTTGCCTAGTCTGGCAGCGAAACGTCTGCAAAACAATCATTCAGCTCGGAGAGCAGTACAAAACCCACATCCACATCCCGAGCTACGGATATTCTCTACTATTTCAAATAAAGGACTAGCAAGGGTAAACAGTGGTGCGTGAGGTGCGAATGAATGCGAGCTTGATGTGAGCAAAGCAATGGAGAGGGAATGTAAATCAATAGGGCTAGGGTAAACAATATCCCATCGTCATTATCATTAATACACAATAGCTGAGAGTGAGGAACGCACTACAACAGTTGTGTCACAGTACAAAAGGCGATAAGATATTTAACAATACAGACTATAAAAACTAATAAAATCTTGAAAAAATATAATGCTAAATATCAAAATATGCATCGAGAAGCTAAAGGGATTGAGGAGGGACGAAGAAACACAACACGAACGCCATTAGGACCGGCTCTTCGCTATGTCAAGTAGTGTATCCCAACCAAACTTATTTATCGTCACTCGGTTCCCAGCCAGGCAGTCGAAAAACACCAACCGACGGCAACTTCGAAGTGAGGGACTTCATTCTTCTCGACCAAGTCATCGCTAGGCCTCCCCTCCTTTTCGTCCATCCACACACCCGGGGCGCAAACAATGCACGTCGCAGGAGTCGGTGGGCTGCATGTGCAACACGTAACCCAGCCATCGGAGCCGGGTACGTGAAATAACGATACTGAGCGCTTCACTCGCCCTTCCTGCACCAAATACTCGAGGCCGAACACGCTCATTGCTCACGCCGTGCTCCCACCAGACATGAACTAAGCTGCGTAGGCAGCGATGATCGAACGTAACTAGGCTCTTTATGTCCGCCGACTTGATGGGCCAAGTTTCGCAACCGTACAGGAGGGTTGTACGGACGGCTGCACTGTAAATTCTGCCCTTCGAAGCGAGAGTAATGTCACGTCGGGGCTACAGATGACGGAGATTAGCAAAAGCACATCGGGTCCCTGTCAACCTTGGAGGAATTGCATCGCGAGGGCGCAAAACATAGCCAGAAATGAATGACAGCCAATGTGTAGTTGTCCAGTGCTATTTAGAGGCAAATGAGATCAGGCTGATTCCTCTATGATTGCTGCATACTGAAGTTGGGCCTACCTTAAAAACTGGGACTATAACGGAGCGGCTCCAGTCTGTTGGCACAGTATCTTGTCCCTACAGCCTCAGTAGTAAACCACGACAAATGGTCCCCCGAACTTGAAGAGGGATAGAGGAAGTCGATCTGCTCCCACGGCCTTAGTCAATTTTAACTGTCCGATCTCACGTTCCACTTCTGCGTAGAAAGGTGGGTCCAGGATGACGGCCCAGGAAGAACAGCAATCAATGCCCGAAAGGTGAGATGATAATGCAGGTGGATTAAACTGCAGTTCAAAGTGTTCGGTGAAACGCTGCAAGCATTTTGACAAGCTGTGGATTGGCTATCCACTTTCGACACGTATGGTCTCGTTAACACCAGGTCTCTTGCTGCCCGTTTCCCGTATCAGACGGAGGTCGGTCGGTGGTCGAAAGGATTGTGTGGGGGTTTGCAACTCTGAGGTAACCGATTTGAAACCGCTTAGGGGTGGGCGTCCTCGCGGTATACTCAACCCACGCGCGGGCGGTGGTGGTCGCGTGGCAGCGAAGCGTCGATACAGTGTGCTGGAGTACTGCTAATGACTTCTTCTTTTATCAGGGGGAAAACTTACGATGGTTAACAACAGCAGAATCTGCTGCCATCTCCGCCGCACGATGAGACTACCAGGATTTGTGGTCTCTCTTTAGGCCGCACGTAGCTTTGCCTTGAGATTTTTTTGAGTCACATCATGTTCGCCTCCAGCCAGAACACGTCAGCGATCATCCAGAAGTACGAAAGACTATCCATAGAAACAATGTCCAGGTTGGCAATTTGATTTGCCACGTGAAAACATGCCTGCTGATAGTAACTATTGACGAATATGGGACCAGTGAGCTTCAACTGCGCTCAGTGGGAGTTTACTCAGCCCGGATACCATCGTACTTTGATACGCATTCAGAACACGGCTTCGCCGGTTGGCTTCTAAGTATGCGCTCACAGCCTCGTTGTGGACGTCTGCCGAAATGCACCCGCACGTCGCCATGTGACAGTCCAGTGAACAGAGATGTTCGTGAGATTTCAGGCATGTGTACTGGAGATGTGCAAAACCGTCGAAAAGGTTTAAACCACAGTTATCCAAAAGTCTATGTCGAGACTGTTCTTCAAGTTTATTTGAGAGTTGTGATAAATGTAACGGAGTGTAATCATCAGCCGGATAAACATTAAAGAATTACTTCGGATGGTACACTCACAAATCGATATTGTAATACGGCGTGTTGCTTGGAGATACTTGGGTGGTCCATAGGGATATCGGCAATTTTTCGGTCCCGGCCAATCAAGAACCCGCTTTGGCGGTGGATATGAAGGATAGGTAACGTTTGGTTCCCCTTGAACACATACAAACGCCAATGTTCGGTTGGTTTTCGTGCGTCCTCTGGCTCATTGTACTTGATGACCACACCTTTGTAGGTGTTGGTATCCTCGGTGAGTTTGCCTTAGAGGAGAAGAAGAAGCACCGCGTTATATTAGTGAGAATAGTAGGCGAGACAAAAATGTACGTACCCCAGAGTTATATGCGAACAAAATTGCGGTTGAAGGTTGAGAAGATTCTGTACATTTCAGGCGGGAAACAATGTAAATTGAGACGGAAATTGTACCCAGCTGATCAGAATAGTAGTTAAAAGCTGATGTGACACTTCCTTGAAACAATATAAATAAAAATCTGAGGACTAGTATACAGTGTACGAAGCAACCACCTGGGTACTTCTTTTAATCTCTTAGCAGAAGACATCATAAACGCCTGGAGAACCAACACGGGGAAAACAAGGCAAAATGAGCTCATTGGAACTAAGTGAACCTTCGACCAAGGATCATGCGCAGTTTAAGTGCAGAACGCAAAAAACGGGGGAGCGCAGTATGGAGTCCAGAACTCCTAATGTGTTGTGCTAAACCGATAAGCGACTAGCAACAGAACAACCGACGATGTAAAGCGAACATCAGCGATGGTTCGATATGTCTCACCGAGTCTCCACTGTCGCGCGACCAGCAGTCGCACACGTGTCGGGAGTATGGCGAGATCCAACGCACGTAGGCGACGTGGAAGCCGCAAGTCAAATGACCGAACAACTCGGCCACCGGTAGGTAGAGTGCGTCAGAAGTACAGACAAATAATAGAAAATTAGTGGCGGGAAAAACTGATACCGGAGAGAAAAATCGGGAAATACAGAGCACGCCAAAACGGTGTGCTAACAATGAGAAAACTGCAGGTCTAGCAGTGTCAGGTGGCAGCGCAGCCACTTGTCATTGCAGCCATATCTATCAGACAACCTTTGATTCGCAGGCAGGGCTTCATAGTTCAGGCCTAAAAATCAGGATAGGTTTACTTACTAGTAAAATGGCACCGTTGTGTAATGGCAGCAAAACCTCACACCAGAAGTAGGTCGGTGATAGGAATCAAACACCAAATTTTACATATTTGAATAGAACAGGCCATAATAGCAATGCAAATCATTGGTAGCTCCAGTTGGTTGTTTCGATGCTGAGTTGCTCCCTGGACTGAGCAATTAGGTTGCAGAAATCGCGTCGCAAACCGAGATAATATCTTCAGCAAGAATAATGGGTGATTCCGTTGGTGAATGCAGATCCCTGAACAAATCCGTCGTTTCAGTTCGTCAAGTGAAACACATGTGTGGTGATGCAGCGGATCTAGATGTTTTGATAAACGTTACCAACGCAATCATTAGAACACTATCAAGAACAATAATTTGAGAGGAATAGGCAAAAAGTAAGATCGACCGACGGAATAGCCAAGGTCCAGAAGTATGGGAGTAGATGCAGCAGCGTAACTGACTATACCATTGTGACATACTCGATGGGGCAGCTAACTACCGATGCGGCCGATTTTATATTCATTGACCAACCACCTCGGGGTCTCACTTAAATGGGTGTAATATTGCCAGGTAACATGCCGAGGTCGGCTCCCAGGTATGCGGAACAGACAGCTGAGCCGCCGGTGGGGACTACAATGAGGCGGTGGGGAACCGGGTGCCGAACCCCAAATGAAGAAACCTAATCTTATTTGGCTCACACCGATCACGAGCAACACCGCACGCACACCCGTTATAAAATAGTCAGTCTCCCAATGTCTTCAGCATATAGCAGATAGGTCGCTGGTCCACACAGTTACACGGTCGCACTAATGGTTCGTGAACCTTTCCCTCAATCGACAGACTTGTATCCCGCTTCTCCGTGACTGTTGCCGGTGGACAAAAGGATTATGTGCTCGCTTTGTAATCCCGGGGGCGACGGTTTGAATCTACATAGGTGCGGGGGATCTCGCGGTATAAACAGCGCACGCGCGACCGGTGATGGTTGCATGGCATTGAAGCGTTGATACCGTGTCCCGGTATACTGCTAATGTCTTGCCTTGTCATAAATGACATGACCACACTAGCCTTAGTAATGCATGTGGTAATCACCAGAAGCGATATGGCTACTTAAACGAGTAAACAGATCGGCCAGAAAATCAGCAGCTTAGACAAGAAATGTGTAGGCCCAAAGGTAGGAAACTACCAACAGAACAAGAGCACAGATGAACTTGCAGAAACCGCCATACGTTAATTTGGTCTCAGCGCATGCCAATGACGGTAGGTATCTCGATCGGACAAAAACAGAATTATGATGCACAAAAAAACTGGAAAAGGAAGGGAAATCCTTGGAGCTTGGTTCCCTAAGCATAGTTCAACAAGCTTGCTGAGTAGAATGAATCAAGGGAGGCAGAATCTGAGTAAAGAATTCTTTTCGCTAATTCTCATCAGACTGAAACATTACATGATGACGAAAAAGTGCTAAATATGCCGGATTGGGCTGCGTATCGAACAGAATGTTTAATTTCAACAAGAACAAAGCAATAAAGCACGGGCTCATTGGAGGTGGCAAGTATGTACAGTGGAAATCACAATCGAAGTTGTAGGCCACGGTAGAAGTAAAGGACGTATAAACTGTTTTTTTTCGTACGTACGATTCTGGCTTGAGGTGGCGGATGTACATAGCTTCCACAATAGACAGGAGTTGCTTCTGGAATCTGCGCGAGAAACGCTCAGGAATAGTATAAATGACTCTAAAATCATTTTCCGTCCCCGCGTGACTGCACTCTAGAAGGTGAGATAAGATGGAACTGTTACTAGACCTCGCTTCGTCTTTGTAATACCACTTTGGGATGTGATCGCGAATCATATGAGATAGGCGCCTCGTGGTACGACCCACGTATCGTGCACCACAGGAGCACGAGTAAAGATAAATTAGCATTGATGGAGTCACCGGAGGCAGCCTGTCCTTCAAAGGTTTTGCGAACAAAGGCTTGTTGTAAAATGCTATGCGTAGGCGAGTTACGAAATAGGTCTTTTCAACAGCGTCTTTCAGGCGTTTGGACAGGGCATTAGCCGCACTGTCGCCTTTAAAAGGAATATGCACAATTAGTTCTTTCTTGGGTACGTTCATCCTCGGTGGTTTTATCTTGCGTTCTTTCAAATGTTTGAGAATGAATTTATCTGGATACCCATTCGATCTGTACATGCTTGCCATCTTCAATGACCCCGTGATTTATTGATTTGTTCCGGTTGAAATTAAACATCCTGTTCAATACGCAGCCCAATCCGGTAAATTTAGCACTTGCTCGTCATCATGTAATGTTTGAGTCTGATGAGAATTACCGAAAAAATTCTTTACTCAAATTTTGCCTCCATTGATTTATTCTAATAAATGGGAATTTTTGGATTGTTGAGGATCAGCATTCCCCGTGATTCAGTCAAGCTTGCTAATTGCCCATACTCCTAGGTACCGACAACTTATCAAGAGCCAGTACTGGAAAACGAACACTTTACATAACCGGGTTTATCGTTCCACAGGGCTAGAGCACCAAGGTAATTGCGAAGACACATTCCATTTCGCAATAATCTTTACTACGGAAAATAGCAAGTGCGCAAAAGAACTGAATATAACAGTGGGCAAACAACAAGCAAAAAGCTAAAGATTGGTACGTAATCAGAGATATCCTTAGTGACCAGTAGCGTCCGTCTATAAAGTCGTTTAAAAACCAGTATCAATTACTAATTCACTTAGCAATACGCAATAAAGCTGTTACTTCAAACGAAGACAACGCGCGTGTAACTGAACTGTGTAGGTATGCGAGTCCATTACACAACAGTGAAGCAAAATTGCTCGAACGGTGGCACTGTACACTATGCAGTTCAAAGAGAAAGCTGGGTTAGGCGAGTGCTTGAGAACAAAGGAGAAAAAGGTTAGCAACTGTTTGAAACAGACTTTTAGTATTTACACAAAGTTATAAAATTTGGAAAAAGAATTAATTTATGCTGGTTGGTAGCAGTAGGGAATCGAAGATCAGTCAGTGGCTTAACCTGTGCAACATTATCATCGTCACTACATGTTAACTAAAGGTGAGAAACACCACAACTACTGTACCGCAATACAAAATGACATACGAAAAAAGCGCGGTATTAAACACTACAGAGGACATAACGAAGATCAAAAAACAGGTAGTATAATGTGTAGTAACATATTAAGCAGAGCGCGAGATCATGGTTGGAGGGGAAGCTAAAGGGAAGGGAGAGGGATAAAGAAACTCCCTACGCAGACGTCATTGAGAACGACCCTCCGCAATGTCAAATATAGCCAACCAAATGTGTTCATCATCTACCGGCCCTCAGCCAAGCACTCGGCAGACACCAACCGACGCCAACTTTGAAGTAAGGGTTTTCTTTCCTTTTGACTAAGTCTTCGCTTGGCTTACCCTCCTCTTCTTTCATCCACACCCCAATCAGGCAAAAGCACGATGCGGGAAACGGTGTGCTGATATGCGTAGCACATGACCCAGCCATGGGAGCCTGGCGGTTGGAATAATGGTGCCGAGCGACTCGTTCGCTCTTCCTGCACCAAATACGCGACGCTGAACACGCTCATTGCTCACGTGGTGTTGTCACCAGATATGGGCTGAACCGCGAAAGCACTAGTGGTCGAAGGTAACTAGCTTCTCTAAGTATGACGAGCTAATGGAGCAGCTTTTACTATGGTACAATAGGGCTGAACAGACGACTGCATTGTAGACTATGTCCTTCGGGGTGAGAATGATGTTGCGCCTGTACCATAAGTGGCGAATTTAGGCAAAAGTGTCTCGAGTTTTCGCTATATGGTTTGTCAAGTGTAGCAGCAACTAGTTTTGTCGCGCGGGGCGGTCGTTAAACGTTCGCTCCCCCTTTCGGTTGTAAATCCGTAAACCTTCACAATTGCCAACCCTTCAATATTTCGCTACATATAACCACAAACAAAGGTGTAATTTTAAAGCGCTGCTGTAAATGCAGGTACTCGAATTGTTACCTTACTCGTGTGTAAAAGTGAAGAGCACACTTTTCGTGCTTTACTTGTGGCAAACATATCGAGAACAGTATAAAAATTCGATTTACTGACAAGTTCCCTATC